TCATGACATTCGTCAGATTTCATTGTCAAACTGTGCTCTTTCTGCAATCATTTATCTATCCTTAACCTTCACATGCGCTTTCGGTCATTAATTTAATTTTTTTTAAACGGACACCAGCATTCAAAATTATCGTCTTTCCAAAACAATTTGTTCATCAATAAGAGTTCACTAACTACCGATGCAATAACACAATTCAGGAAAAAATGTGAAATATTATATTCAAACATGACGCGAAGTTCCTGCAGAGTCCTTACAGAGGCACCAAAGAATATACAAAATACGCCAACGACTGTGTATGAAGCAACGTTGCCAAGCATTGATTCCGTATTTAACAAGAACTAGTTAAGCTACGGTTTAGCGGCCATTATTGGTAAAAATTTAATCCATCCTTATTCCGAACTTACGCTGGAAGTAACTATTCCCGGAATAAGCGTGTTTTAACGAAGTTACACCAAGCTTTTATTAGTAGGGCTGATTTAGTTCACATCACCAACCTTTTAACTAGTTAATAGTTGAATAATTAGTCTAATAAACTTAAATTACTGAAGAATAAACATAATAGATCTTTATATTCTTGAACTCATTCAGCCCTACTAATAAAAGCTTTTTGTAACTTCGTTAAAACACGCTTGTTCCGAGAATAGTTACTTCCAGTGTAAGTTCGGAATAAGGATAGATTAAATTTTTATCAATAATGGTCGCTAAACCGTAGCTTAACTAGTTCTTGTTGAGTGCGGAATCAATGCTTGGCAACATTGCTTCATACACAGTCGTCGTCCTGAATTGTGTTATTGCGTTGGTAGTTAGTGAACTCATATTGATGAACAAATTGTTTTGGAAATACGATAATTTTAAATGCTGGTGTCCATTAAAAAATTTAAATTAATGACCGAAAGCGCTTGTGCAGGTGAAGGATAGACAAATGATTGCAGTAAGAGCACAGTTTGGTAAAATGAAATATGACAAATATGAGAAAATGATGTGAGTTCGGTGAAATAAATAAACTAGGTGTTCAGAAAGTTTATGAATGTAACACACATAATGCATTTATAACCCTTTTTATTTTTTAATGTTTCAATTGTGAAAATTTTAAAACTTTGTCTCTAAATTCGAAGAATAATATAATAATCCAAAAAAAAACATTCTTAAGAACTTAAAATTGATTTTTTTAAATCCTGTATTCATCTCACAAACAACTTTTATAATTTACTTATTTCACATGCATCTAAAAATTTTGCTTTAAGACCAAATTATTTTCTAAGTTCTTGAATACATTAATGTTTCTTTAAAAGTGTTTTCCATTCTCCATAATTTAAATAATTATTTCCCCCCCTTTTCAATTTATTTCTTTTTAAACAGAATGGTATTTATTCAATATAGTTCATTATGTTATTCTTTTAAATTGTGGGTAATATTATTTAGCTTCAAATTATATGCAGGCATCTTGCCATATATAATTGTTGTAAACAAAGTTAAAAAACAAATAAATATAATAAAAAAAGAAATTTAGTTTAACTTGGTTGGAGAATGTTAATATAATTGTCAAACAATAATTGCTAGAGAAGAAAAAATCGTCCATTCAACTTAATTACCAATTAAAACTGCAGTTTTAATTCATTTTACCCATATGCCATTAGGAACACTTAATTTTGATACAAGGATTGAACATTATTTAATTTTAGTGCTGTATAATTGGACAATGATACTGTTTGTGAACTTAGTTTATATTGAATTTATTACTATTTGATTTAATCCCAGCTATATGAATTATTAAAAGTTAAATTGTTCAAAGAAAGCCCATGTCAAGTTGAAATTTCCCTTTCTCCCCAAAAGTTAATTATTTTTAATTTGTGTGAACATACAACTAATTGAAAATATGTGTAAACAATAGTGGGTGAGTGATATTAGTTTCTGACCCACATTAGGAGATTTATCTTCAAGAATATCTGTTTTTTATTTTTTCATTTTCTGAACCATTACCCTCCGAAACTTAATATGAAAAATAGATCACTAAAATTCTTTCACTTGAAAGAATGTAAAAAAATTGTTTTGCCTTTTCTTACTACAGTATATCTTAAAGGTAGGGATCAACTTTAAGCAGCATGCTAAAATACTCCAATATCAAGATTATTTTTTTAATTTTAAAATAGTAGTTGCTGAATTCAAATAATCATTTACATTAATATTTTTTATTAATGACCAACTTTGATACTGACATGTTCATAACTATTGCCTACCAAATTCACAT